ATACTATTTAAATTAATTTAAACTTTTTCTTTTCTGTTTTTTAATATGACTCCAAGAGAATTTTAAATTACACACTCGGCTCTCATTTTCATTGGTCAGGCTAGTCTGTACTATGACTTCAAGCTGGTAAATATGCTCTCTTCATCATACAGTGGATCATTGGACAGGTTTTCACTCTGGGTCATCCACCACTTACCCTGGTAGACACTATTCATTCTAATGGTCCCCACTTCCGCAATCTGGGAAAGTTGGCGACTTATCGCTCTTAATTTTAAAGAGCCAGGAGTATAGAGATGCCTCGGGCAACTCGAAATTGCTACCCACACTACATCAAGCACAGAAAAGATATCTTGGACTAAAACGCACAGTTCCTACCCCGGATTGTCGATCAGCCCTGATGGAAAGCCAGCCCTAGGAAAGTAAGAAGGGGCGGTGGAGAGAGCTCCCTCATCTGAGAGAACGCGATGTGGAGTCTCTTCAGCCTCGGGACAAGGAGTTTGTGGGAGGCGAGGATGGGGTTGGCCTCCAAGGCAGAAGCTGCAGAGAAGAACGGTACCTTAAGAATTCCCCTGATCTTCGCAAGGAAGGGGCGGAACTCCTCGGGCGGCACATCTGGATAGAGCTGGCTCCGCAGCAGCTCCTCTGTGATGCCCGGGTGCCCGTGGAAGGCATCCTGGGCTAGGCCGCTTAGCAGCCCGCTCAGAGGCTTGCAACTCTCAAGCTCGCCCGCCATGGCCTGCGGAGCTCCGCCTACAGGACAGCTGAGCGCATCCCGGCCACGGCGGCCGAAAGGGCCCAAATAGCCTGGGTAAAAAAAGCCCTCGAGGAACGTGGGGGCGGGACGCTCAAGGGTCGGGGGTTTGAGTGTTCAGTGCTCACAATTCTCCTCTGCAAAACCCCATCCCCTTAGGTTTCCACCACGAAGTCACCCATTTAGTTCAGAAAGGATCTCTTTGCTTCCGCTGATCTCCTTCCGACTCAAAGGAAAGATCACACTTGGTGAAAATCACATGAAATGGGGCTACATCCTATGAGGGTGGCCAGTATGGTAACATACTGATGTTAACTTTTGGTTGGCAGTATCTCATTCCAGGTCTTCCACTCCATTAAATGAATAGGACCTATCACCTACATCCAATACCGGCCTAATCCTCACCTACCCACCCTTTACCCAGGAGAGCTATCCCCTAGTAATTTACAATGTGTTTTCTTGGGTTGTTAATGTCCTTTGTTATGCATGTGTTCTGTCTTTCCAACTAGATACTAGCTTTGTTTCAAAGCTTCCTTTTTATAAAATATTTTGTCACACCCTTTTTCTATCCTGAAATGAAATGCATAGATGACATAACCTCCTATCCATATAATTTCCAAAAAGCAATATATTTTCCAGCCATAAAAAGGAATGAAGTAGTGATTCATGCCTTAACATGAATAAGCCTTAAAAACATTATGCTAAATTAATCAGACAGAAAAGGCTAGATATTGTATAGTCCCATGTAATGAAATGTCCAGAATAAACAAATCCATAGAGACAGAAGGTAGATGAGCGGTTACCAGGGAAGTAGCATATGATCAATAACCAATGGTATTGAAGGAAGAAGTCCAAGCTGCGCTGAAGAATATGGCAAACAACAAGTCTCCAGGAATTGACAGAATACTTACAGAGATGTTTCAACAAATGGATGCAGGGCTGAAGGCACTTATTTATGCCAAGAAATCTGGAAGACAGCTATCTGGCCAACTGACTGGAAGAGATCAATGCTTGTGCCCATTCCAAAGAAAGGTAATCCCACAGAACATGGAAATTATCGAACAATATCATTAACATCACACACAAGTAAAATTTGCTGGAGATAATTGAAAAATGGTTGCACCGGTATATTGTCAGGGAACTTCCAGAAATGCAAGCTGGATTCAGAAGAGGACGTGGAACAAGGGATATCGTTGCTGATGTCAGATGGAGCTTCACTGAAAGCAAAGAATATCAGAAAGATGTTTACCTCTGTTTTATTGATTATGCAAAAGCATTCAATCGTAACAAATAATGGATAACATTGCAAAGATGGGAATTCCAGAACACTCAATTGTGCTCATGAGGAACTTATACATAGACCAAGAAGCTGTCATTCAGACAGAATAAGGGGATACTGCATGGTTTAAAATCAGGGTGGGTGTGCATCAGGGTTGCATTCTTTCACAATATTTATTCCATCTGTATGCTGAGCAAATAATCTAAGAAGCTGGACTATATGAATGTTCTGGTTACCTAGTGCCTCTCTGACAAGAATATACCACAAATGGGATGACCTTAACAAACAGGAGTTTGTTAGGTTCTAGGGGCTGTGTGAAAACCCCTCAACCTTGGGCTTCAGATCTGCCTCTTGCTCCCAGCCCACTGAAGCCAGAGGCATGTCTTCACTCAGGCAGCTACTGGCTGCTAAGGCTAACAAGCCCAAGGTGGACAAATAAAATGGCACAGTCCCAATGTTCCCAAACCACACAGCAGGCTGTTAATTCAAGTCCATTGAAAGTCCCAAGGTTGGCAGAGCATGGCAGGCTGCTGAACAATGACATGGCTACATGCAGGGTCCAAGTGTGCCAAAAGCTAGAGACCATTCCCCAAGCCTTCTCCTTATATATAGGAAGCAGACCCCATTCCTAAGGCAGCTACACAGATGCTCACAGTAGATTCCACCATGGAGATGATTACCAGGATCATCATGGGGAATACTACATCCAGCTGCCCAGCCATTCAACCAGGCCCAGCCACACACAAACTGAACTACCACAATGAAGAAGAACGCAGCATCCAGATTGGAGGAAGACTCATTAACAACCTGCAATATGCAGATGACTCAATCTTGCTTGCTGAAAGTGAAGAGGACTTGAAGCATTTACTGATGAAATCAAAGACTGTAGTCTTCAGTATGGATTACACCTCAACATAAAGGAAACAAAAATCCTCACAACTAGACCAATAAACAACATCACAATGAGTGGAGAAAAGATTGAAGTTGTCAGGGATTTCGTTTCACTTGGATCCACAATCACCACCCATGGAAGCAGCAGTCAAGAAATCAGATGTTGTATTTCATTGGGCAAATCTGCTGCAAAAGACCTCTTTAAAATGTTGAGAAGAGAAGACGTCACTTTGAACATTAAAGTGTGCCTAACCCAACCCATGGCATTTTCAATAGCCTCATATGCGTGTGAAAGCTTGACAATGAATAAAGAAGACCAAAGAAGAGTTGATGCCTTTTAATTATGGTGTTGACGATGAATACTGAAAATACCATGATCTGCCAGGAGAATAAACAAATCCATCCTGGAAGAAGTCCAGCCAGAATGCTTCTTAGAAGCTAGAATAGCCAGGCTTCATTTCACCTACTCTGGTCATGTTGTCAGAAGGAACCATTCCCTGGAGAAGGATATCATGCTTGCTAAAGCAGAGAGTCAGCACAAAAGGGGAGCAGTGCAACAAGATGGACTGACACAGTGGTTATAGTGATGGCCTCAAGTATAACAAAGATTGTGAAGATGGCACAGGACCAGGCAATGTTTTGTTCTGTTGTACGTAGGGTCACTATGAGTTGGAGCTGACTCAATGGCACCTAACAACAAGTTAAAAAAGAAAAACAAAAAACAGCACTATTAAGCATGTCTTCCAAATAACCCACCAGAAGGCTGTACCATTTTGTTTCACCATCAGAATTACGCGTGTCCATTATTTCTCTGAACCTTCATTGAACCTGACTGGTATTGTTATTATTTTACTCTTTTACATCTGATAGGTGAAAAACAAGGTACCCTGGTGCCACAGTGGTTAAAGAGCTTGGCTGCTAACCAAAAGGTCAGCAGTTCAAACCTATCAGCACCTCTGAGGGAGCTCTGGTAGCATAGTGCCTAAGGCACTTGACTGCTAACCAGAAAGCTGGCGGTTCAAATCCACCAGCCACTGCTAGGAAGAAAGGTTGGGCAATCTACTTCCATAGTGATACCACCTCGAAAACCCAAGGAGGGGTCGCTATGAGTCACGTCCAACTCAATGGCATATGACAACACCAGCACCTCTGAGGGAAAAGTGAAAGGCTGCATCCATACAGATTCACAGCCTTGGAAACCCTATGGAACAGTTCTACTCTGTCCTATAGGATCACTATGAGTTGAAACTGACTTAACAGCAGTGGATTTTAGGTGAATAACACTTCTTGTTTTAACTTGTATTTCTTAAATTTTGAGAATGAGTATTTATTGATATATTTATTGACTGTTCGTACTTCCTCTCTTTTCTTTGCCCATTTTTTTACAGGAATTTCTGTCACTTTCCATTGATTTCTAAGAGCTTTTTATATACATTGTTAGGTGCCATTGGGTTGATTTTCAATTCATAACGACTCTAGTGGCGTAGTGCCTCAGGCATTTGACTGCTAATCGAAAGGCTGGTGGTTCAAATCCACCGTCCCCTCCTCGGAACAAAGACTGGGCAATATACTGCCGTAGAGATACTACCTCGGAAATCCAAGGAGAGGTCACTGTGAGTTGGAACCGACTCAACAGCAGTGAGTTTGGTTTGGGTTTTGAATGACTATCATATATTTTGAAATATTTTCCTCAAGTTGATGTAATCAAATTTATGTACCTGCATAGAAAAAAGTCTAGAAGATGTTATAGTTAAATATGGTTAAGTGCACAGGTAGTCCCCAACTTATAATGTATTCGAGTTAGGACCATCCCTTTTTTTGGTGTTTTGTTTTGGCTTTTGTTTTGTTGTGTTTTGTTTTGTTTTTGTATGTCTTATTATGCTGCATCATATAATTTGCTGATGTTATTATTCTCAGATGTTTACTCACAGATATTCAATTTTATGATTCACTGTTCAAAACACTGCCAGATTTATAAAGACACTGATAATAAAAGGCAATAGTAATGAAAACTAAAAAAATAATAATGAGCTATTCTACTTACATCAGAAGCAACTTATATGAGAGTCATGGGACCAGAACGCTAGCTTAAGTTGGGGACTGCCTATATATCTCTGAGTAATTGAGTATGGTTTTTATTTTCTTCTTTCCGCTTACCCGATTTTTCTAAAATGTCTACTATTTTTCTAAAACGCGTTACTACTGTAATAAAACATTATTTAATGAAAAGATTAAGTAGTATGTTCTAAAAGCAATATTCTTTTAATGAAAACATATGTTCTGTCACTGAGAAAAACTGTGAACATTACCTTATAACTGGTTAAGTTTTTAAATATTATTAGATGCTTTGAGAATCTGATAAAAGCTTCAAATGCTTTCCCCAAAAATGCAGATACGTACCAAATGTGGCCTAGAATATCCATGGGTGAATTTACCTCTGAAATGTTTCTACCAACTCCCTTGTTTTCTTTGGGCCCTCACAACAACTCCGTCCTAAGTGCTCCCCAGTCATTTCTATTTAATCCTCAAAAGAAACACATTATTCTTTTAGAAACAAGGAAAAATTCATCGCTATCATTATTAAATTTTCATTTAAATGTGTATAATACTTAGATACATCGCTACCTGTCTGAGTGAGCTAACTCACAGGGTGACCAATAAAAAATTCATGCCAGTGCCACCAGGGGCTGCTATAGCCAATGTAAATGTTAAATGCGGTTGGTAGCAGCCACATTTTTAGATCGTCTTTCAAACAAAAGGTTCACAGCACAAAGCTTTATTTTTTATTAAATCTCGAAACACAACCTGTTTCAAAACCTGGACA